TCCAGAACTGTACTTTTTAATTCAAGATTTATAAATCAAGATCACAAAACAAAATATTGTGAACTCAGGTCCTCCAATACTATGTGATGTCCCAAATTTTAAGGATTCAAGTGAGTAACGTATTGTAGAAAGCATGATATGTCTGTGTATTTTATGCTCTATCATAAAGATGTCCCAGTAGAATTTATACTATGCAATAGAGTGAAATCAGACCTAAAAGCTTTATCAATTTAATGTGTTTAAAATATCTAATGGGTATTTTAATGGTATATATAAACTATTAACAGTTCTAAAATAATGACCCTCTTATAAGGCATATAATAATTCGACTCCTTGATTTTGTAACCCTGAAGAAAAAGATGAACAGAGTATCAAAATCAAGTGATAACAGCTAGTAGAACATTTTCCTTTAGGTCTAAAATATTTATAGTGCCATTTGCATTTAGATCCCTTTCCTCTTAGATAATGTGTCAATATTGTTGTTTTTCTTTCTCTTTAGAATAAAAATGCTCTTCTAACTTAGATTCCTGTCTCCATCATCATCTCAAGAGACTCTAACTATATGATAATTTCCCGGAGAAAGATATTTCATTACCTCTGTAACTGTTAGGATTCAAGTACATGATAGAGTAGAAAATAATATTAAAAATATAATGTAGCATTGTAGTAAAATGTACTTATTACAATGTAGTTGCCTAATAGGCTATTATAGAAACATATTTTTAAAACAACACATTTTTGCCTTCTTTTTAAGATGAAGACATTGAAACCTAGACTCGCAGTGTTGGCCTAAGTTCACAATGGGACAGATTTGGGTCTGAACGCAGGGCTCCTGACTCCTAGAGCAATGCTCCATCAGAAATATCCTTCACTTACCCAAATGACTGGCAGAATTGACCCTTTATGGTTCAATCAATGAACAAGAAAATACATTTGAAAATAAACCTCACACTGGCCTGAGAAGATTTATTATAAAGGAATTTTCCAATAGAGAGATGACACCAACGATTGTGCCTTCTCTCTATTGGAAGATTACTTTATAATAGGTGACACCAACAAAAGAAGGCAAAGCCCTAGTTCTAAAAGTTGGCCTTTGGATGCCTTGTTGGGGCCAGTCAGGTTATCAATGTGAAGGCCATCACTCCCTTATTGTTTATGCTTGGTTGTTTCCCATGTGATTATTTTAATAGCCTTAAAGTTCCTTCACTGGTTAATATCAGAGTACTTCTAAGGCTATCCATTATTTCTGCTCCTTTTATATCACTTTGACAAGTATTTTAAAACTCTTTTATTTGCTATACCAAGAACTGCCACTAGATGACACTAAGTGACTAAACTCTTGAATCACTAGAAAACTTAACTGGGAAGTAGCCAGCATGAGTAGAGACTGTAATGTGAGAAACGCTGTGATAAGGCTGAAGTTCTGCTGTTTGTATACAAGTTTCAATTACCCTTTACTTTTAGAGTTTGGTAGTATATTTATTGAAAGTTTAATCCACAACTGAATTTTTAAAATTAATTTTTTCATGTACTTCTTATAATTCCAAATGAGATCTGTTTATCATAACATATTTAATAACACAAGTGCATTTTTATGACCGTTATTTTGCATAATAAGAACTATCAAAATATTTCCCATATTTGTTTGGCTCTTTCTATTCATGGAAGTGATTTTTGAAAAGAGAAATTTGATCCACTGTGAATTCTGGAAGGAAACACCTGAAGAAACCATTCTGTGACTTCCGCTGCTCTGCTGTTCTCTCCCTTGCTCACTCTGCTCTGGCCACGCTGGCTTTCTTGCATGTTTTCTAACATGCTAGAGACACTAGCCTTGAGCTTTTGCTGTGGCTGTTCCTCCTGAGTGAAAGCCTCCCCTTTGAGATGTTTTGGCAAACTCCGCCTTCTCATCAAGGTCCAGCTGTTCTGAAACACTAATGTCTCCCCCACCATCCCCTCCACCACCCTCATTCCTCTCACATTCTCTACCTTTTCCCTTTTACATAGTACCGATCACTTCCTAACATATCACCTAGTTTAATTATTTATTCTATCCAATTTTTATGGTCTGGCTCCACCTATTATAATGTAAGCTTCAGGAACAAGAATCTTCTCTTTTCTTTCTTTCTTTCTTTTTTTTTTTTTTTAAACGGAGTTTCCCTCTTGTTACCCAAACTGGAGAGCAATGGCATGATCTCGGCTCACCGCAACCTCCGCCTCCTGGAGTCAAGCAATTCGCCTGCCTCAGCTTCCCGAGTAGCTGGGACTACAGGCACGCACCCCCATGCCCAGCTAATTTTTTTGTATTTTTAGTAGAAACGGGGTTTCACCATGTTGACCAGGATGGTCTTGACCTATTGACCTTGTGATCCACCCGCCTCAGCCTCCCAAAATGCTGGGATTATAGGCGTGAGCCACTGCGCCTGGCCTAGGAATCTTTTCTTTACAGACAGATCACAAGCACCTTGAAAAGGGACAGGTGTGTAATAGACATGTAATCATATGTCATGAAATCAGTCAAGTATATATTGCGTGCCTACTATGATATGTCTAGATCTGATACAGAGAGGGAAAAAAAAAGGTTATTTCTCCCAGTGAACTACAGCAGAGTTAATTGCTTCAAGTTTGTGACTTGAGTTATATATATCTGTTCTTGGCATTTAATGTGCCCTAAATTAATGGTGAATAAAAACCTCCAGTTATATGATACTTTGCATTGGCCCCATAACCATAATATATACATAGTTTACACTTTATCTACCTGCACTTATTTTCTGATAAGACTAGAGGGGGAAGAAACTGCCTTTCTGTGTTTACCCAGCAATGAGAAAAGAAAGATTCCAAAGGAGAAGCAGCGCAGGAGCTGGTTAGAACTGAAAGCTGCAAGAATAGAAAGATGGGTCCCTACCATGTTGGCTTGCCAATGAGAAGACAGAACTTCGACATTACCACAAGGCAAGGCATTTCCAACGAGTTTTATTCCTGTCTAGGATTTTTAAAAAGGAGATTTTAATTGGTAGGAATGTTTCCACATTTTCAAATAGACTATTTCAGTATTGGGGAAATTGTAGGTATAGATACAACTGCAAGATAGAGAGTGTGAGGCTGTAAAATACTGCTATATCCAAGAAGGAGTTTAAGAATATTACTCGAAAGAGCCAGGATGCACACACTAGGCGCAGGGAGCACCGTATTGATCACTCGGGCCTGAGGCTGAGATCCAGCCAAGAGGACTGAATTAAGAACGTCTTTGCATTTCCACTTGAAATGTTCTAATAGGATCTTATGACAAAAATAGAGCATGAGAGAAGGGGGAAGGAGCTATAAATGGACATTAAATATGGGGTAATTAGGGTTAGGTCAATCTTCCTTAACAGCAGAGCAAACAGCATCTGCATTTGAAGAGAAATTGAACTATGCTGTTAATCCGGTCATCCCTACAAATAGCAACAAGGGCCATGATACAATAATATGAAAACTGAAACCAACCTTAGTCCCTGCCCTTATGCTAAACAATACTGAGACAAAACATAGTTTTATGTCACAGTGTTAATACTGGGGGCAAGTAAAAATAACCTATCTACCTGATCCAGGAAACGTTTGCTCCTAGGAAATAACACCGAACAAATTGAAATAAAGGCATGGACCATATAATGATGTTCCAGTCAAGGACAGATCACATATACAACTATAGTCTCATAAGATTGTAACACTGTATTCTTCTGTACCTTTTCTGTGTTTAGAAACACAAACGCTGACCATCTGTGTTACAATTTGCCTACAATATTTAGTACAGTAACATGCCATACAGGTCTGTAGCATAGGAGCAATAGTCAATACCATTTAGTATGTATAGTCTATACCACCTAGGTGTGTGTAAGTTCACTCTGATATCCACACAATGAGGAAATCACCTAATGATGCATTTCTCAAAACATATCCTGGTAGTTGGCCAGGTAGGTGGCTCACGCCTGCAATCCCAGCACTTTGAGAGGCTAAGGCAGGTGGATCACCTGAGGTCAGGAGTTCAAAACTGCCCGGACAACATGGTGAAAACCCATCTCTACCAAAATACAAAAAAATTAGCTGGGCGTGGTGGCACATGCCTATCATCCCAGCTACTTGGGAGGCTGAGGCAGGAGGTTTGCTTGAACCTGGGAGGCAGAGGTTGCAGTGAGCTGAGATCGCACCATTGCATTCCAGCCTGGACAACAAGAGTAAAACTCTGTCTCAAATGCGTGACTTTACCTTTATCAAGACAAAAGTATTTGTTCATCAAAACTCATTTCAGGATCTCCACCTAGTTGTACTCACGTATCCCAAATTATTATGCCATTAAGGCTGCCCAGTCCCAACCAGGTCCTCACCTTGCAAGACACACTTTAAATCACTTGCTAAGGATCTAAAGCTTCATAAATATCCCCCCCTAAATTCTACATTGTAAGTAAGATACCACTAAGATTCTGGCAAGCTGGAGTTCTATAGTAGAGCAAATCAACTTAGTTTTGCTTGATAACAGGGTGTTTGCTTGTTTGTTTGTTTGTTTTTTAGTGGGAGGAGGAGTTGGAAGGTCAGTGGCCAACAGATAGAACTCGCGCAGTGTTGAAAGACAAAGTGTCACCATCCAACAGCCTAAAACCACCACAAATACAGCTATAATTGAGCCAAGTTGATAAGGTTACTCATAATAACAAAGGAAAAGCATACCAGTGGGAATTGTGGGTGTATCTCAGTAAAAAGGCTGTTAAGAATGCATTACGAAATTCTGACTTTTGTTAGGTAATTTGGGGACAGCTTGAAGGAAGGAGTGCTTTGTTATATTTTGATCGTTTTCAGGAATTGGAGTTAATTCTACGACTGACCATCCTCTTTGCTATCTATTATTGCATAACAAATTACTACAAATTTAGCAGATTACAACTGCACATTTATCTTTCTGTCTCTGTGATTTGGCACTCTAGACACAGCCTAACTGCTTCGTGTGCTTCCGGGATTTTCCACAGGTCTGCAAGCAACATGTCAACTGCGGCTGTAGTATCGTCTCAGGACTCTACTAGGAAGGCTCAACTTCCATGCTCAGGTGATTATTAGCAGAATTCAATTCTTTACGAGCTGTCATACTGAGAGCCTCAGGCCCTTGCTGGCTGTCAGCTGAGGGCTGCCCTCAGTTCCCTGCCATATGGGCCTCTGCATACGGCAGCTTACTTGATCAAAGGCAGCAAGGTAGAGTGGGAGAGTCAGAACTAGTCAACAGAGTCTGCGGGCAAGTCGGGAGTCAACAATCTTACACAGCATAGTCACACAGTAAAATCACATTATCTTTGCCGTATTATTCTGGTTAAAAGTAAGTTAGAAACCCTGCCTATAATCAAGGTAAGGGGATTACACATAGGTGTAACGACTAGGAGGCAGGAATAATTTGGGTCACCCTGGAGTTGATCTGCTGCAGTATCTTCATGAATCTCCTCTAGAGTTGGGGAAGAAGAGAACACAGCTAAAGTTGTGACTGGCAAAGAAGCATCATGTATTAGCCAGGATGGGAGGACTTTGGTCATCTTTGGGTTTTGACAACATGCACGTTTTTGTCTATTATTAGACATAATTATAGAGTCATCTTGTTTTAGTCTTTATCCATTACAGTCACAGATGTTGGTGGCATCTATGGCATTGTCTGATGTTGTGGACATAAAATTGTGTTCAACAGAAGAGCAGACACAAGGTCAATAGCCAGAGAGAGCAAGGGCTAAGCGACAGTTCAAAGAACAGTTTTTAGCTGTCAGGGGCTGCTATCCTCTTTCTCACAATAAATAAGTGAGAGTATATAGTAGAAGAATAAAAAATCTTGGAAAACAAAGGAGAAGGAACAGAACAATCAGATCATAATGTTCTGGACAAGCAAGACTAATTATTAAAGTCAATCCTTTAGTTAAAGTGAATTTGAAAATGCTCTCAGGACCCTCATATATAATCGAGAGATTATCATGCATACATTTATAAAAGCTGCAATTATTCATGAATATTGTTTTATGCAATGATCTGAGAGTATATATCCTTTTAAATTATTTTTTATTTGGTTTTCAAAAGTCCTAAGTTAAAAAGTAATGGAAGATATTTGGCACAAAAGAACCTGACTTTATTACTAAACTAAAGTTTCTGTTGCCCAAAACTGGCATCATAGAAACTTCAACAAGCCTTTGTTATCTCAGAAAAAAAATGTTTAGAAAAAATGTTTGCTTATGAATTTGCAAATAAATTGAAGATGTGATGATTCGGATATAATCGAATGAATGATGTAATTATGCCAATGACGTTGCCAGAGTTGTTGATTTAACCAGAAATATAAGAGTTGTCATGGAAAGTGATTCGTGATTAGGCTAACATTTTTAGGTTAAGCCTCTTCCTCCAATGTACAGTAGTCAGATGCTGAAATTTTGTTTATATGTCACTGACCGTAATTATATACATTAAAAAGAGTCTCTGAGGAATCTGCAATCATGATATCAAACTATAATCACTGCTCCTATACAGAAACCTTGACAAGAGAATATAATAATAAATAGCACCAGTAGCATTTCCAGGCAACCCATAGTCACAATGTCAAGAATTATTCCCCAGTCGGTTGTCTTTTTCAGGCCATTTGAAGCATTCCTGCTGGTACCAAAGCTGTGTCCTTGAGTCTTTGACTACTTAATTTGTTCCACACTTTCCAAGTCAGATTAATTCTTCTGCAGAGAAAAAAACTTTGCTTCCCACTCTTACATTTGCTCATTAATCAGAGTTTTTTTTTCTTTTCTATCTACTGTTTTTGGAGTTTTTGTCTCCTATCATTCATACAATAGCCCAAAGAGGAGTCAAAGCAGAGTTCTCCCTTTATATTCTGTTTTTCTTCTTTGCTGTCTGATTACCTGTTCTTTAGAAGAAATGTTCCTACCATTTTCATATCGTCCTTGAAAACAGCCCTGCTCATGCCACAGTCCCCAATAAGTACTGTTCTGCTATACATTAGTTCCTTCTTGTCTATGGGGAATACATTCCAAGACTTGCAGTGAATGCCTGAAACTGCAGATACTACCAAACCCATAGACGCTATGTTTTCTTTTTTCTGTCTGATAAGCAGATATCATAGTGTGGATTTGTTGGGCAAAGGAATGTTTCATGTCCTGGGTAGAATAAAACAGGATGGTGTGAGAGTTCATCATGCTACTAAAAAAATAAATTTATGCTTTCTTCAGGTTAACTTGTCTTTTGCTGTAAGAGTCTTGGCCATTTCCCTTAAGCTTATGAATTGTTTATCTCTGGAATTTTACATTTCACATTTTCAGACCATGGTTGACATCAGATAACTGAATCTGCAGAAAGCAAAACCATGGAAAAGTGGGCATTCTTCTAGTTTTATAGTACCCTGCTCCTGCTTACATCAAAGCACTTGTCATATTTTACTGATCTCTCTTTCCCTCTTCTAAGAAGAGTACCCAAAACTTATCAACAAGCAAAAGAGATTGCAATGTTTGCTTTCAGTGCTTTTGTTGAAGATTGTCAGACCCAGCCATGACTGAAAGGGGCCAACATACAGCTTAGGCTGTGGCTTCAGAGGGTGGAAGCCTCAAGCCTTGGCAGCTTCCACATGGTGTTGAGTCTGCAGGTGCACAGAAGTCAAGAATTAGGGTTTGGAAGCCTCCACCTAGATTTCAGAAGATGTTTGGAAATGCCTGGATACTCTCAGGGGTGAGGCCCTCATGCAGAACCTCTGCTAGGTCAGTATAGAAGGGGAATATGGGGTCAGAACCCCCACACAGAGTCCCTACTGGGGCACTGTGTAGTGGAGCTGTGAGAAGAGGGCCACCATCCTCCAGACCCCAGAATGGCAGATCCACTAGCAGCTTGCACTGTGTGTCTGGAAAAGCTGCAGACACTCAATGCCAGCCCATGAGAACAGCCAGGAGGGAGGCTGTGCCCTGCAAAGCCACAGGGACAGAGCTGCCCAAGACCATGGGAACCCACCTTTTGCATCAGTATGACCTGGATGTAAGACCTGGAGTCAAAAAAGATCATTTTGGAACTTTAAAATTTGACTCCCCCACTAGATTTCGGACTTATGTCGCCCCTTTAACCCCTTGCATGGCCCTTTGTTTTGGCCACTTTCTCCCATTTGAAACAACTATATTTACCCAATACCTGTACTCCCATCGTATCTAGGAAGTAACTAGCTTGCTTTAGATTTTACAGGCTCATAGGCAGAAGGGATTTGCCTTGTCTCAGGTGAGACTTTGGACTTTAGACTTTTGGGTTAATGCTAAAAATGAATTAAGACTTTGAAGGAGTGTTGGGAAGGCATAATTGATTTTGAAATGTGAGGACGTGAGATTCGGAGAAGTCAGTGGTGGAATAATATGGTTTGACTGTATCCCCACCCAAATCTCAATTCAAATTGTATTTCCCAGAATTCACATGTGTTGTGGGAGGGACCCAGGGGGAAGTAATTGAATCACGGGGGCTGGTCATTCCTGTGCTATTCTTGTGATAATGAATAAGTCTCACAAGATCTGATGGGTTTATCAGGGGTTTCTACTTTTGCTTCTTCCTCATTTTCTCTTGCCACCACCATGTAAGAAGTGCCTTTCACCTTTCACCATCATTCTGAGGCCTCCCCAGCCATGTGGAACTATAAGTCCAATAAAACCTCTTTTTGTTCCCAGCTTTAGGTAAGTCTGTATGAGCAGAATGAAAACAAATACCATAATAGAAAATAGAACTTCTCTTCCACAAAGTGAGCCATAAAACTAAGACAGGTTGCCCTCTCCCATCTCCCTTCTCCCTTGAAGACCCTATTGCGCCAAACCCTTATTGGCTCCAATAAAGATAGCACTGTATGCAAGAAGTCACGGAAGAGAGCCAGAGACTGCGAATAGGGTTTCTTGAGGACTTACGTACAGGGGCAGTCCAGTGTGACTACTGTTTGCCAAAAGCATGTCGTTTATGCAGCATTTCCACTTAGCACCCTCTGCCTAGCAACTTCCATTTAACCCAAAACAAAAGGCCTCAATCCCCTGTATGCCCTGCATTCTGAGTGACGGGCCAAGCGTTCAAATGTCCTTTATAGATAAGGAGTGAATCTCCATGTTGGCTGTTTCCAGATTTCTTAGCCCAGAACTCTGAACCAACGCCTTTCTTAGACCATATGATCATTCTCAGGGTGTGCTTCAGTTATGGCTGTCAAACAGACCCTCATTTCAGAGGGGTACTGCGCTATATCCAGGAGGAGGGAATGCTACATAGAGAGAAAAACCTTGCTGGGTTTTCCTCCTCAGTCTATTATCATTAGGTCATACCATCATTGTCCAATCACGTTTCTACCTGGATGGGCATTCTTCATAGATCCTAAGCACAAAACAGGTCTTCTCTGAGCCTTTGAGTCTTTATTTCTAAAGGTTCCCATGTTACATAAAACTTTGATTAAATAAATTTATGCTTTCCTCAGGTTAACTTGTCTTTTGCTATAAGAGTCTTGGCCATTTCCCTTAAGATGGGTTCAGGAAATGTATCACAGCCTTCTGCCCCTATACTAATTTACTACTGATTTAGATAAGTTACAGCTCTGCAAAGATAATAACCAGCCAGTAGATCCAAATGATCCTTTTTTTATAGCAGTGTGGTTTTGTTGCCACAACTTTTGTAAGATATTAACTAGGCTTATAAATTAGCAAGGTTGTGGGTCTCAGTCACTGAACCTAGGAGAGTGGGAGGAAACTCTTCCTAGGCTCAGTGATTGAGGCCCACAAATCAAACTGTTAAAAGATGATTAACAAGAGAAAAACATATTTTAATTACTTACATACATAATGAAGTCTTACAAATAAATGAGATTCAAGCAGGCAGGCGTTTGAGGCTTATAAAGCATTTTACGCTAAACAAAGGAAAAGGGGTCTGTGGCTTCTGCACAAGGGAGGAGTGTGATGGGAAGGTAAGAATGGGGAGAAATGTATGGTGAATAAGGGTTGTCTTATGCAGATAAGAGTTGTTTAGGTGATAAGAGTTATCTCTGGTATGAGACGCAATTACAAATGTAAATTTTCTTTAAAC